TGAAAATTTTGAGTTTCCAGGGAGAGCTGTGGGTACCTGGGGATATCTGAGAAGACATTTGTTAATATAGCAATTATTTACTGGGCATCAGCTATGCTCAAAGTACTGAATTTAGAAGTTGCATTTATAGGCACTTAAGATATCATTCTTAAAGAGACAAAAGCCTGGGAGATGAAGATAGACTTTTCAACAATGATTATTTCATAGTGTTTGTAGGTGGAATGATTTATACATAAGGCCCAAGGAGTGGACGTGGAAACATTTGGCAGAAGCCAGAGAAGCTTAGGTGGGTGATATTTTCATTTTGAAGAAGTGTTCCAGGAATGGGGTGAGAAGAAGGCACAGCATTAGTAATAACTGTGAGATAAGACACAGGCCTCTTGTGAGACCCCTAAGTACCTTGGGATGGCTGGCATGTAAGGGCAAAGGTTGAGCTTACCAGGATATAGGGTTGGAGAAACCAGCTGAGGAGAGCCAATTATGACATACTAAGGATTTTGAATTCATTCTGTGGACAAAAGAGAACATTGAAAATTTTTCAGCAGGATTGTATTATGATCAGATTCTTATTGTAAAAGACAATTTTGGCAGCAGAGGTTTGCATGGAGACTAATTTGAGTACTATTGCAATAATTCATGTAGGGTGAAGGCCTTAAGGCAGAGTGTTGGTGGCTGGGGTCAGAAGTAGGAGGAGATTCTGCAGAAGTAGTGAGGAGGTTGGTGGGAGAGCAAGATGGAAAGAAAGGATAGATTCCAGAAGTTTCAAGAAGGTAGAACTGACAGAACATGGTGGGAGATTTGATGTGGCTGATCAGGAAAAGGAAAGAGGAAAATTTGGAGGAAACATGAGTTCAGTTTCAGATGTTAGACTTTTTAGTCATTGTGGGACTTCCAGCAGGAGATTTTTCATAGACACCCAAATATTTGAGAGAATTACTCAGGAAGTTCATTTGTAAAGGTGGTTGATACAAGCAGCCTTCAGCTTGTGGTGCCTGGGTGGCTCAGCCAATTAAGCAACCAGCTCTTGGTTTTGGTTCAGGTCATGATCTCATGGTTTGTGAGTTTGAGCCCCATGTTGGGCTCTATGCTGACAGTACAGACTCTGCTTGGGATTCTCTCTCTCCCTCTCTCTCTGCCCCTCCTCCACTCACACTTTCTCTGTCTCAAAATGAATAAATAAACTTTAAAAAAAACAAGGAACCTTCAGTGCAGAGCACCTTGAATCCTTGATTTTAACGAGTTTTTCAGTGTTTACTTCAACAAACCACCTCCACTCTCACGTCTGGATCTTTTCTTCTTTTTTGTTAAAGTTTATTTATTTTTTGAGAGAGGGAGGGGGAGACAAAGAAGGGGGCAGAGAGAGAGGGAGAGAGAGAATCCCAAGTAGGATCCACGTTGCCAACATAGAGCCTTATGTGGTGCTCGATCTCATGAATTGCAAGATCATGACCTGAGCTGAAACCAAGAGTGGGACACTTAACCAAACTGAGCCACTCAGGTGCCCCTTATGTCTGGATCTTAACATCATCTTCATCTGCTCTAAAAATTGGAAGAATTAAAGTCCAAGATGGCAGTTTGAGCACTGGTTCCTTCTATGTTCCAGTTCCCTATTGCTTTATAGCCATATCTTTTCTTCTGGGTCACGGAGACTTCACATCCCTTTACTTCTCCTTTTACTCCTGGTTAATTGAAACATTGTACTATCATTTCTTTTTCTATCTAGTCTAGATCATAAAGTCCAAATCATTTGCTCTTTAGTACATGCAATGCATTCATTCCCTTGCTTTCTGATGCACAATTCTCAGTGTTGGATCTGGGCTACTAAGTGCTAAATGGAAGCACAAAATATATGGACGGGAAAAACCACACCTGTGTGGATTCCAGTAGGTCATCCCTCAGCACCTCTGTCTCTGGCCAGGTTTCTCTTCAAAAACCTGTAGCATATTCCCAGCTTTCACCACCTCCTTCATGCCTTTTTCCACAATGACACCTTGCTTCACAACTCAGTTAACAGATGGTCTTACTCTTTATTTTTAAGACAAAATTGAAGGCATCATGTCTGATTCCTTCAGTGATCCAAACCTGCACCTTCAAACTTATCCATGCCTACATTTATACCTCCTTTCCTGTGGCCACAGAGGAGGAAATAATGCAAAGATGTTAGTATTCAAAGGTCATTTTGTGTTCACCTGATCATTATTATTTCAATTATCCTTTTTCTCTCCTTTATGTTGGCATTTACCTTCTACATGCTCAAGTGACCCTTATCTTAGAAAAGTAAAAAAAAAAAAAAACCCTCATTTTAACCTTTATTCCTCTGCAGCTGCCAGTCCCTTCTCCAGATATGACAGGTCAGTGAATGCTTATGATGTTCCAACTTCAACACTACTTTGGACCTGATAATTCTTTGTTGTTGGGGCTGTCCTATGCATTGTAGGATGCCTAGCAGCACCCCTGGCCTTTGCTAATTAGATGCCAGCCATACTTCCCCTTACCCAGTTATGACAACCAAAAATGTCTGTAAATCTCTGTTGTGGTGGAGGGGCAAAATTGTTTCAGTTGAGATAAAACTCATAACTCTTTAAAAAAAACTTTTTTTAGTGTCTATTTATTTTTGAGAGACAGAGAGAGACAGAGCATGAGTGGAGGAGGAGCAGAGAGAGAGGGAGACACAGAATCCCAAGCAGGCTCCTGGCTCTGAGCTGTCAGCACAGAGCCCAATGTGGGGTTGGAACCCACGAACCGTGAGATCATGACCTGAGCTGAAGTTGGATGCTTAATTGACTGAGCCAACCAGGCGCCCCGTAAAAAAAATTTTTTTTAACGTTTATTCATTTGTGAGAGACAGAGAGAGACAGAACATGAGTGGGGGAAGGGCACAGAGAGAGAATGGGAGACACAGGATCCAAAGCAGGCTCCAGGCTCTGAGCTGTCAGGACAGAGCCCAGCTGGGGCTCAAACTCAGAAACCACGAGATCATGACCTGAGCTGAAGTCGGCTGCCCAACTGACTGAGCCACCCAGGTGCCCCAAAACTGATAGCTCTTATTGAGTAAGCACATGCAAAGAGACTCTGACAAGCTGTAACAACATTTTACTAATAGAAGATAATGTAACTGATTTTGCTACTGGACAAAAATATTGTTCTATTAAGTTACTAGGCTGACAGGAAATCCAGTAGTGAACAGAAAGAGAGGGTAGAAAAAATGTTTTTTTCTGAATATTCTGGGGAATATTCAGAGTGGACATTGAGAGATTTTGTCACTTTGCAAAACACATGCTAATGAATTTCAGTAATTAATTTCATTAGGATCACCTCCTTAAAAAATTTTTTTTCTACGTTTTTATTTATTTTTGGGACAGAGAGAGACAGAGCATGAACGGGGTTGGGGCAGAGAGAGAGGGAGACACAGAATCAGAAACAGGCTCCAGGCTCCGAGCCATCAGCCCAGAGCCTGACACGGGGCTCGAACTCACGGACCGCGAGATCATGACCTGGCTGAAGTCGGACGCTTAACCGACTGCGCCACCCACGTGCCCAGGATCACCTCCTTTTAAAATATGTGTGGTAAGTTAGCAAACTGAATAACTCATTACCATGTATGATGGAAGTGTAGTGACAGGATTTGAAGGAAGAAAAGCATGATTTCATATAGAGAAATGTATGCTCTTTGAAGCACAGTTCAACTTGAAATGATGTTAATGATGTTTACACATACCAAGATATTCAAGTTTGTATCTGCTTTGAAAAAAGTGGATATGAGTTTGGTTATAAATTATGGACTGTTGTTCTTTAGGACAGAAAGAAAACTATGATGGTTCCGTTAAGCACAGGGAGTGCTTTCTTCATTTCAACACACTCAGCACTGACTGGGGGCTACCATTGGATTCAACTGTCTAGGTTGCTCCCTCATGGTGGGCAACATAGGAAGCTGCGTTAGGAAAGGCAGAATGTCTGTGGTGGGACCAGGAGACAAGGTGATTCCAACATGGCCTTGAGCTCTGTGTTTTATTTCAAAATCTTGTCTGTGTTGTAGAGATTTCTGGAGACTTTTGAGACCTAGTGACATGACATGCTGGAAAGATGTTTTAAATCAATTATTTTAGTTTATTGAATGCTTGCTATGTTTCAAACCCTAGGCAGAATTCAGGGAACTATCTGTAACTTTCCTGTAAGTGTGAGACACAGCGGTGTGATGATGTCAGCGCATCCTGGCTCATAAGAACCAATTTTCCATATTTCTCCCCAGCTCTGTGTTTTGTGACTGTAATCGCTATGGTAGAAGTAGTTATACTAAGGATAAGGAACCAAAATATGCCACAAATCAGGGCTTTAAAAAAATTATATTCTTTCCAGAGAACTGTTTTACCAGCACACCACCAAAGATGGGTCTTCTTTTTTTTCCATTTCAAAGCTAAAACTGAAGTTCAGGAAAGTAATTCCCTAAAGTGAGTTTAACTTTGAAAACCACATGAGTTCCTGGGAGGCAAGGCACACTATTAGTATGAGAGAATCCCTTATTTTTCTACTCAAATGGTAGAGTCCAGTTGAGGTTAGGTTTTATCCATAGGGTGTTTTGATTTTCCTTTGTTTCTCTTACCTTTCTTACTGAACATAAATGGGTCATGGTTCACAGTCTTTCAGACCTGGATTTTGGTGTAAATTAGAATGTTATTTTTCATCATACTTGGTTTTCTAACAAATATATTATTTGCAAAATATTCCCAGCATTTGATTATTTAACTAACCCCTATTCTATTACTAATCAGTTCTGTTATCCTCATCAAGTTTCCTCTGTTGTCTAGTATTGGGGATGCCACCAGGGACCTCTAAGGTCAATGCCATTCATTCCAGCATGAAGACCTTTATGCTTTTAACAATAGAATGTTTCCATGTGAAAATACTAACATGGAATATAAGTTCTAAATAAAGTAAGATGAGCCTCAAAAGTGAAGTTTGTTATTTTATGATGAAATGAAGTTTTTATTTTGTTTTGAAAGTTTCAGAACCTGAAGCTGAGGGAATTCTACTGTGAAGGAAACCCTCTGTTCCTGAAGGAGCCAGTTACCTCTGTACAACAGGATGATGTCTGGAGTCTACAGGTGAAGCCTTATACCATTCACACAGCTCTTGAAACTAAAGCTATGATTTAAGTTTTAAAGAGTTTTCTTTTAAAGCATTCTTGCCAAACTGGTAAATGATTACAGCAGCCCTAGTCCATTGGCAATGTGGATCCTAGACATAATCTCTTTGACTGGCTTATAGAATCCAATGTAATACTGATTTCTAGAGTGACCAAATTTGGAGAAATGGAAACATTTTATTGGATGAAAAGAAAAGAGAGGAAGTTATTTTCACTTTAACCTTCCAAGTATTTTTTCAGTATTATTTAAAGGGTGTATTTGATTTGTTTTTACCATGGTTTTTGCCTCTTCCTTCCCATTTGCACTTGTCCCTGTTTCTAGTGGATAAAGGAATCTGACCCACAAATCATGTTCACTTTAATCAGACAAATTGATGATATTAAAATATGGAATAGAAAAGCGTAGCAGAGGACTCTCTTTGTGTGTTTTTTAGTGACAGATGAATTAAGATTGCAGATCTTCCCACAGTTGAGTATGAGTCTCCATCATGAATTTGGACTTCTCCGATTCTAAGTATTTAACAGGAATGAACTAATTTATGATTTAGTCCTCCGATAACCTTAAAAAGTAGTGCCATTATTGTCCCCCTTTTACTGATAAACTGAGATCAGGGTAAGTTAAATAACTTGTCCATGTTCACAGAGCTAGTATGTGTTAGTATGATGATGCCAACCTAAAAGCTGGGCTTCAGACTCCATGCTTGGAAAGCTCCATTGTCTTAGAGTCTGCTGGAAGGTGAGGGAAAGGGAAACAGGGCTAGTCCCTTTCTGGAGGAGGTTCTGGTTTGTGGAGGGGACCAAATGAGCAGTCAACCCAATGTGGCAGTAGTTTCACTGGGATCCCTTGAGGGCAAGAATGTTGCTGTGTGTCCAGCATGAAGATGCAGAGTGAGAGAGAAGTATTTCTTCCCCCTTTTCTAAAACTATAAGGACCCAGGAGCACAAGAATTTTATGTAGGCATGCGCGTGCGTATGCACACACACACACACACACACACACACGCACAGTTGACCCTTCAACAACATGGGGGTTAGGAGCACAAATCCCCAGGGAGTCAAAAATCCATGCATAAATTTTGATTCCTGCAAAACTTAACTACTAATAGTCTACTGTTGATGGAAGTCTTACCACTAACATAAAGAGTTGATTTACATATTAACACATAACAAATAGGTGTTAATGTATATATGTATTATGTACTGTATTCTTACAATAAAGTAAGCTAGAGAAAAGTGAAGGTTAAGAAAATCATAAAGAAGAGAAAATACATTTATACTACTATGTTGTATTTATTGAAAAAAAATCATTGGTTTTGAAAAGCAGAGGGACTTAACATTGTGAGTTTTTATAATCAGTGGGGCTTAACTCCTGGAACTTTAAAAATCAGCAGCTTAGGTCTGGGGGAACCAAAGGGTGGTAGAAAACTGGTTCCCTGCCCTTAAAGAGACTGCAGTATAACAAACAGCCCCAATGATATGGCATAGAAGCTGCAGTTTGAAAAACACCAGGGGTATGGGAAGGCTATTTGTTTACTTATCTCAGAGCCTCTGCAGCAGGGGCAGGGATCTTTAGGAGACTTTTATAAGAACAAAAGAGCTGACAGGCTCTATTTCCCTCCCCCACCCCCTAGCCTAGATACATGGAGACCTGCAGGAACCAGTACAGTGTGAACACTACCTGGCTTGCTGACAGTGTACCCCATACCCATGAAGTTCTGCAGACTCACCCCTCTAGCCCCAGTCTCCCCGGGAGTTTTCCAAAGTGACTACAGGTCCCCTGACACAGTGGACCTGCACAAAACTTGCTAACACTGTGCACCCCACCCTCGCATTCTCCTATTGACCCACCCCCACCAACCTGTCCTCCACGGAAGTCCAGAGGTGTGCCACAAGTGTGGCATTGTGCAAGCAGCCCCAGTAGGGGCCAGCACCACTCCAAAGTGACTTCTGTCCCAGGGAGTGTGGAAGATAACCACACATACTAGTTGAACTGCAGCTCCAGCAGTGGGCTAGGCCAGATATCTGGTCCCACTATAGGCCCCACCCACCAACAAAAGCCTCCTGGGGGACAACACAGGGAGAGTATCCTGCAGTTTGGTGCAACTGCATCTCTGCCCAAGGCAGCCCCAGATTGGTCCATTAACAACAGGGACCAAACCTTGCCAACAACAGGGAAAGTGAGCCATTGTTGGCAATTCCACTGAAGACAAATGCAGCTCAGCCACAAGAGTAGGGTGCACAAAATATATGTAGGAGACACCCTTGAAGCTCCAGATTCTGATGAACAGGAGACATTGCACTACAGGGCATCACAGGACATTTCCTTCATAAGGCCATACCTGCAAGAGCAGGAGACATAGTTGATCTTTCTAACACATAGATACAAAGAGACAAAATGAAAAGACAGAGAAATATGTCCAAAATGAAAGACCAGGACAAAATCATAAGAGAGCTAAACCAAATGGAGATGAGTAATATGCCTGGTAGATAATTTAAATTAATGGTCACAAAGATACTCACTGGGCCTGAGAAAAGAATGGAAGATCTCTGTGAGAACCTCAACAAAGGCAAAGAAAATGAAAAAGAACCATTTAGAGATGAATTCAAAAGATGAAATTAAAAATACACTAGAGGAAATAGAGAATAGATTACAGGAAGCAGAAGCATGAATCAGTTGACTTGGAGGACAGAGTAATAGAAGGTAAACATGCTGAACAGGAGAAAGAAAAAGAGATTAGTAAAAATTGAGAATAGATTAAGGGGCCTCAGCAACACCACCAAGCATAATAACATTCACATTATAAGGATACCAGAGGAGAAGAGAGAGAAAAGGAGGCAGAAAATATGTTTGCAGAAATAATAGCTGAAAACTTCCCAAATCTGGGGAAGGAAACTAGATCCGAATCTAGGCAGCACAGAAAGCCCCCAACAAAATCAGCCCCAGGAGGTCCACACCGAGAGCATTGTAGTTAAAATGACAAAAAGTAGTGATAAAGAGAAAAATTTAAAAGCAGCAAGAGAAGAGAAATCAGTTACATAGAAGGGAAACACCATAAATCTACCAGCTGATTTTTCAGCAGAAACTTTGTAGGCTGGAAGGGAGTGGCATGTTATATTCAAAGTGCTGAAAGGGAAAAAAACAACAACAACAAACCTTCCATCAGGAATACTCTATAGGAGAGTTAAAGAGTTTCCCAGGCAAACAACGGTTAAAGGAATTCATCACCACTAAACCAGTCTTGTAAGAAATGTTAAAGAGGAATTTTGAGTGGAAAGAAAACACTATAATATAAGCAAGAGTAAGAAAGATAGGATGGATAAAAGCAGCAAAATTAAATATATCTATAAAAATCAAAGGATTCATAAAATCAAAGAATGTGAAGTATGACACTATATACAAAAGACATGGAGGGGAGAGAAGTTAATATTTAGTGCTTTTTAGAATGGGTTCAAACTTAAGTGACCATCAACCTAATATAGACTGTTATATGCACAACATGTTATATATAAACCTAATGGTAATGACAAAATAAAAAACCAGTAATAGATGCACAAAAAAATTAAAAGAAAAAGGAATCTAAGTATAACACTAAAAAAAGCCTGCAAACCATGAGAGAAGAGAGCAAGAGAAGAAAGGGACAAGGAACAACTACAAAAACAGCTATAAATCAAATAACAAAATGTCAGCAAATACATACCTACCAATAATTAATTTTTTTCATGTTTATTTATTTATTTTGAGAGAGAGAGAGAGCATGTGTGCACACAAGTGGGGGAGGGGCAGAGAGAGAGAGAGAGAGAGAGAGAGACAGAGGGAGAGAGACAGGGACAGAGAGAATCCCAAGCAGGCTCCACACCATCATCACAGAGCTGGCTGTGGGGCTCAAATTCATGAACCATGAGATCATGACCTGAGTCAAAACCAAGAGTTTGACACTTAATCGACTAAACCATCCAGTTGCCCCGGTAAAGGAATTCAAATATATCACTAAAGAAAGCCAGCAAACCATGAGACAATAGAGGAAGAGAAGAAAGTAACAGAGAAGAACTACACAAACAACCATAAAACAAGTAACAAAATGTCAATAAATACATACCTACCAGCAATTAGTTTGAATGTAAATGGACTAAACACTCTGATAAAAAGACATAGTGTGTCAGAATGGATTAGAAAGCAAGACCTTTCTATATGCTGCCTACCAGGGACTCATTTTAGACCTAAAGATACATGCAGATTGAAAGTGAAGGTGTGGAAGAATACTTATCATGCAAATCGAAAATAAAGCCAGGGTAGCAATATTTATATCAAACAATATAGACTTTAACACAAAAGTTGTAACAAGTGACAAAGAAGGACACTATATAATAATAATAAAGGGGGCAACGCAAAAAGAAGATATAACAATTGTAACTATTTATGCACCCAACATAAGAGCACCCAAATATATAAGGCAGCTATTAACAAACATGAAGTAATCAGTAGTAATACGATAATAGGGGGGTAATTTAACATCCCACTTATATCAATGGACAGATCATCTAAACAGAAAATCAATAAGGAAAGAGGGGCTTTGAATGATACATTGGCCCAGATGGATCTAATAGAAATATTCAGAACATCCCATCCTAAACAGCAGAATACACGTTCCTTTCAAGCACATAGAACATTCTCCAGAATAGATCACATGAGGTCATAAAAGAAGTCTTAAAAAATTAAAAAAAAAATTGAAGTCATATAATGCATCTTTTCCAACCATAATGCTATGGAACTAGAAATCAACTACAATAAAAAATCTAGAAAGAACACAAATGCATGGATGTTAAATAATGTGCTACTAAACAATGAGTGGATCAACCAAGAAATCGAAGAGGAAATAAAAAAAATACATGGAGACAAATGAAAATGAAAACACAATGGTCCAAAATTTGGGGGATGCAGAAAAAGCTGTTCTAAGAGGA